GAACGCAGACAAGTGTGAAAAATGGTGTCTAAAAGACTACTAAGTCTTAAGATCATAGAAATTTTTGCTAAATGGGCTTTCCACACTTACACGACATCGCTTTCGTGCCAGGACTACAGCAGCAATGAGAAGGGCGTTGAGCATCAAAACCACAACGATCATCACAAGTTCCATTACTCGTAAAGTGTTAGAGTCGTAGTAGGTTATTTCTACTGTTGTAACTTCTTTATTGCAAGCTATTCCAACACATTGTTGCATAAAAAATGTACGAGGACCAATTGGTTTGGGTGGAGTGGTTGTAGTCGTCAGTTCTTGTCTGATAGGAACTAAGGCCATGGTCTAGAAATGGTAGCAATAATGCTAGCCGAGAACTTTTGTAAAATTAACATAAAATATCTAGATATTTTGGAATTGTAACCGGAAATTCAAGAAACTTTCCATGTTAAATCAAACTGTTTTATTTCCACATTAAGCAATTTCACTTCTAGTGGCGATTGGCTGCATTTTGATAACACCTTTCTTTCCTATAGTGAAACATCTACAAAAGTTAAGCAGCATGTTTTTAGTCCCAAAAAGTACAAAAGCAGGTATGAGCAGCTTTGGTATGGTGCTAAGTATATTGTAGAGACTGATGATAAAGTAAAGTTGCGGCTTCTCGCCAGAAAAATGCTCAAAAGTGTGAAAGCGACAATGAAGACCTAAAACATATGTCTGAAGGCCAATTCAAGCCTGCTTACAAGAAGGCTTACCAGCTCAGAGACTGCTAGGAGGACTACGTGGAAGCACATTCGTCTCTCAGCTACCTCCAATGAACCCGAGACTGATGAGTCGCGACGTTTTTTTCTCATCCAGAGAAAAATAATGAAGTATTAGAGAAAGAACCGGAAAGGCCAGGAAGCAATGTCCACTTATCCAATTATGATTCAAGTAAGTACCGCAACCCAACGTTGTAGAAATATTTTCATCCAAAAAAGCAAAAATTTGGACCCCACCACATATAAATCGGATTTGTCCACAGAATCTACAAATCCAAACCAACCAACATGAATCCTTTCCATTCGGCAAAACAAAGTAACTATTGTAGTCATGGCAATAGCAAAAATAAAGGATAGGCATGGAAGAATAACATATTTTGCCCTAAACAAGATGTCATGTCCCCTAATAGTAGCTTGAGATTAAGAAGTTTTGAAACAACATTCATTCAAACCAACCCACTGAATAAAACTTGCTCAAGGCGAACAACCAAACGATTCAAGGCGAGTATAAAAATAAGTAGAATTGCTAGATATCTTGAGAATAAGTCGACATAAAGCGAAATTTCATTTTGATAGGAAAACGTCGCATTAAATAAGGAAGGCACTGCCTTGAATCATAGAAACTAGAGAATGAAATAGCAAAATAAGCGCTAGAAATCGCATAATTTTGAAAAATGTGTTCTGAATTCAAAATTAGGCTTGAAAA